ATATATATATATATATATTATTTGACCATCTCCTTGAACCATACACCACCTTTTCATTATTTTTTGAACTAATTCATTAGATTTTTTTTTTCCAAATTTAAATAACTCATCCATTTTCCACTTGAATATTGCTAATTCATCCGATTATTATCGGGGTTTATTAAAATTCGTCCTTTTTCTATGTCTACCACAAACTATCTATTAAAATTTGAAACAAAATATACATTTTGAAAAGTTTGGGAAAAATTGGATGAGTTTAAACATAAGGAAAATGAGATGAATAATTAAAATCTGGAGGATAATTGGATGATTATAATTTTTAGGAAGGAAGTTAGATGGATTGTAATAATTAAAGGGAGTTTCCCCCTAGAAAAACTTCTTTTAATATGTTCGAACATTTATATCTTTGAATGCTATCACGACAATGATTTAAATTTGTTTATTTTCAGAAATTTCTCATTAAATTTGTATCAATAAACAATACTTCGAAATATGATTTTTTTTTTCTTTCTAAAAACAGCAATTTTAAATCGACGGATGAGATTTTTATCATTCTCTCAGCCTATCGCAATGTTAAAAGTTAATCAAAGCCCACATAAGGAAAAAGGCTTACAGGGAACTAATTATTGGGCCTTCGTAACCATGAAAGCCTAATTATGGGCCCAATAAAACCATTTAGGCCCATTAATAACCGAAATGTGAGTCCAGTCCACACAGGAAGAAATAAGATATTTTAGGCTTTTTTTTTTTTTTTTAGAGCCACCGAGGATCCGACCGTTATCAGTCGCTAGATAAGGCATGAACCAAAAAAAAAAAGTTTCTTGATAAAGAACATGCGGTTCTGCTTCTTCCAGTCCGCCGAGATTCTGTCCAAATCTCTCTCCGATGGCGGCGGCCGCCACTTTTTTCGGATTGTATCATCTGCGAACTCATTCGACCGTTGAACCTCTAAAGCTACTCGGAAACCCTAAACTATCGATCCGAAGCAGAAACATTCCCCGAACGTCGCCTCGCGATGATTCTCCCGCCGTCGCAACTTCTTCGGCTCAAGATTCATCTCAGCGACATGAACAGCAGCTGAACCCATTGTCTTCGACTGATCCGGTCGACTTGCCCGACCCAGATCCTGTTCCCGATTTGTCTTCTCGTCTGCCCCCGTCCGATCCGTTTTCTCGGCTCGTCTTCACTTTGAGGTTCAGACAACGATACGATTTCTCATCTGCAATTTTTCATGGGACTTTCCTGTTTTTTATAATAAAAAAAAATCATGATTTCCTGGGCTATATATGTAGAGAGGGAATTCGGGTTGGTGAAATTGGGAGGGAGATTTTGTCTATTGCTTTACCGGCTGCTTTAGCTTTGGCAGCTGATCCTATAACATCGCTCGTGGACACGGCTTTTGTCGGTCATTTGGGTACTGTTTCTTGCTCTTCTTCAGTTAAAAGGTCTCATCTTTCAGACATGTTAATAGCCCAGTTAAATTTATTCTATTACCTGAGAATTTGATTGCCCATTTTGATTAATATGCCCAGAATTATTGACATAGATAAGGCATGACAAGTAGATTGATCGTTTGCAGCATTTAAGACCTGACACTTTACAAGTGCTGAAGCATGTTAGTTCCTGTTAAATTGTATACGATGAAGTAGTCTGACAGGACATCGATTGATGTCTTGTGTTGGTTTTGACACAGGTTCTGCTGAGCTAGCTGCAGTAGGAGTGTCTGTTTCTGTATTCAACTTGGTCTCTAAGCTATTCAATGTTCCTTTGCTAAATGTCACAACGTCCTTTGTTGCCGAGGAGCAGGTCATTGCCAGTAAGGATGAAAATGACTCTAGCAAATCCATCAATGGTAATAGTTCTGCTTCGATACTTGTCTGTGTCCGCTTACAACAACTGTTATGTTTGATTCTTAGTGAACTGAGAGGGAAGAAGGTTAAGGGTCTTGGTTGCAATCTGGATCCATGTAACTTTACGGGGTACTTGGATAAAAGAAAGCTCGATAAAAACAAGTGAAATGATAAACGGCATGATAAGAAATGGGCTCCTATTAGATGAATATGTGACCTTTAGACACCATACGATTGCCTGCAAAGCATCTAGGAGCTAATATTTGTGGCCAGCTGGGTGGCATTGCATTTATGTGGTTGTTATACTTGTTTCTTATTTGGATGTGTTTTCTTTTTCTCTTCATCGTTAAGGCGACATGGGAAAGGGACATGGCAAGAAGTTGCTACCTTCAATTTCAACCTCATTAGCACTTGCTGCTGGAGTTGGCGTTGCAGAGGCTATTGCACTTTCAGTAGGATCTGAGTTCTTGATGGACATCATGGGTATACCTGTTGTACGTCAAAACTTGTCTGGTTACATGTTCTTTTTAGATTTGCCCCCACAATTGTCAACATACATTCTCTAGCGTTGAACAGCCCAAACATACACTTATCAGCAGGTGGAAATGCATTTATATGTTAAAAGTAACCGATGTATGCTATTGTCTTAGCATTTTATTTATTGATATGTATTTTTTCAGGATTCTCCGATGCGAATACCAGCAGAGCAATTCCTTAAACTTAGGGCATTTGGTGCGCCGCCCATTGTTATCGCACTTGCTGCACAAGGGACTTTTCGTGGATTCAAGGACACAAAGACACCTCTTTATGCTATTGGCAAGTATCCCGTCTTCATTTTGCTCTTTTTTAGAAAAGCGTTGGCCAACTCTCTCTAGAGTTGTACTTCTCTAAAATGTTGTAGACTAAAACCAACCATTGGCAAACAGTTATATACCGTAATCTTCATAATTGACTAACACCCTTATGCTAGTCTTGCCTTATCTACCTCAGCTTATCATTTGACATGTAATATGGCAAACTCTGGATGAACAGGAGCTGGAAATTTGCTTAATGGGATACTGGATCCAATCCTGATATTTCTCCTTGATTTTGGCATCTCTGGTGCTGCAGCTGCTACCGTGATTTCTGAGTACGTCAACAATGTGGTAAAATTTTGGATGCTTGTATTCTTGTGTATGTCAAGCTGTTCTTTCCATTTATGGCTCCTAATGTGTTGTTTTTCGTGTACCTACCCATCTTCCCTTCAGATACTTGATTGCGTTTATTCTTCTGTGGAAGTTGAACAACAACGTGGTGCTACTCTCTCCGAGAATTGAAATGGGAAGAGTCAATCAATACCTGAAATCCGGTAGGTTATCGTTGTAGTAAGAGATTAGGTTATAATGTTCGATCCGGTAGAAAAGGTCCTTTATTTTTCTCATGCTTGTTATGGCCTTTTTCAAATATAATGTCAAGACTTGAAAGGGTTTAAGCTTATGAAACACAGGTGGGCTTTTGATTGGTAGAACTGTGGCACTGCTTGTGCCATTTACATTGGCAACATCATTAGCAGCTCAGAAGGGTCCAACACAAATGGCCGGCTATCAAATATGCTTGGAAGTCTGGTTAGCTATCTCTTTGCTCACTGATGCTCTAGCCATTGCTGGTCAGGTGCTCCTTTTTTGCCAAGTCTTTAAGTGTTTACGGGCATATGGTGTATTTTTGTTTCTGTATGGCTCAAACACTCTGGTTATGGCCAAGTTTTAAGAACTTCTATAATTGTTGTGCTCTTAGTCATGAGAAACAGAGAAAGCTATTCTGTGCTTCCATATATATATTGCACACACCTTGCATCAGCAACACTTTGGACATGTTTAGAACTGCTGAAGTTTCAACTTGCTATTATGGGGGTGATTATATTTCTTGTCATGCTTTGCAGAGTCTGCTTGCAACTAGTTATTCTCAAAGAGACTACAGACAAGCTCGGGAAGTTATCTTTGGTGTTCTTCAGGTTTATTTATTCCCCAACCCCGGCTTGTCATCATTTTTGTTTTTGTTTTTTTTTTTTTGGGATGGAGTATTTGATCTGATCTCTACGTATCTGATCCATTTCCGTTTCCTTGGTTTTGTCTGTTTGGCGGTTTTGAGCAGATAGGTTTGATAACTGGAACTGGTCTGGCTGTTGTTTTGTTCCTTGGGTTTGAACCCTTTTCGAACTTGTTCACAACGGATTCCGAAGTTTTAAAGATTGCATTGTCAGGGACACTTGTAAGTAAGCTCTATCTTAGTTTCGATATTTGGTGTAAAAAAAAGCCTAATTCTAAGTCATTCCTTGAGTTTATGAATGATGGATGATGCCTTCAGTTCGTGGCTGGATCTCAACCGGTTAATGCCCTTGCTTTCGTCTTTGATGGACTCTATTATGGAGCCTCGGACTTTGCATATGCAGCCTACTCCATGGTCCGGTTATCTCGTTTTTTTTTTTATCTGAATTGTGCACTTTTATTATTTCCTCTTAATGTAAAGATCATTGTGGTATATTAGGTGATTGTGGGGGTCATATCTTCATTGTTCATGCTTGTGGCTGCGCCTGTGTTTGGACTTGTTGGCATATGGAGCGGTCTATTCCTCTTTATGGCATTGCGTTTAGCCGCTGGAGCTTGGAGGTTAAATAGAAATAATTCTGATGTATCAGTTTTTGTTTTTGCAAACTAAAATCTGAGGATCTTAGTTATGTTTTTTGCAGGTTGGGGACAAGAAGTGGGCCCTGGGAAATGTTATCTGCTCCTGAGAAGCTGGAATGAGAGAGATGTGCCTCCTTTAAATGTCTGAAAAAGTTGGTATATTCTTATGGTAATTGTGAAATTTTTGGTATAAATATAGAAAAGTAAATTGTTTTTGTGTTTTTTAGAATCCACATTACAACATTGAATTGTATGTGAGAAAGTTGATATAAAAAGTTGATATATTCTTATGGGAGTTGTGAAAGTTTAGGTAATGGAAAAGAGTTTATTATGCTTTTGTAAGAATTCATATATTTTTGTTGGATTTTCCTAAAATTATATATACTGTAAAAACAATACAGTAAAGGTTTCAGACATTTTAAATAAATAGTGATGCTTGATGTGCTGTTTACAAGAACTCTCTCACATGGAGATGAAATGATACTCAAGCATAATTTAATTTCACAAATTATTATTCTATCATCACATAATTGTTATTATAAACATACAAGCATAACCGGATCTATAAAGTTTCTTGAATCAAAGAATAAAAGATTATATTGTATATATATATATATATATATGTATCTTCTTTTCACCTTTTAATAATCCTAAACCCAAACAAAAAGCCCTTCATTATTTCGCTCCAAACCCTTTTTCTCATTTCACCGTCTTTACTCATCCTTTGATTGCTCTTCTTTAGCTCCTTCATCGCCGGAACCAGTCGCCTCCGCCATCTCCGGCCGAATCTCCTCCAGTTCCTGCAGAAGCTGCCCGGCCTCCGGCCGAGCCGCCGGCGACGGATCCACACAATGCAAAGCCAATTTCAGAGTGTTGAGAAGCTCGTCCCCAACGCTTTGAGCTTCGCCCATCAGCTCCAAGTCGAATACTTCATTGGTCCACTCTTCTTTCACAATGGAAGCAACCCACTGCGGCAAATCCATTCCGTTCGTGGGCTCTCCTGGAGATTTCCCCGTCAACAGCTCCAATATGATGACTCCTAGACTATATACGTCCGTCTTGGTGCTCGCGTTCTTGATCTTGGACAGCTCTGGGGCTCGGTACCCTAGCGTTCCCGCTGTAGCGATCACGTTTGTGGCCGCAGCCGCGGTCATGAGCCGGGAGAAGCCGTAGTCGGCGATGTGGGCCTTGGTCTGCTCGTCCAGGAGAATGTTGCTTGCCGTCAGATTCTCGTGGATCATGTTCTCCTTCGTGTGAAGGTGAGAGAGGCCACGTGCTATTCCCTTTGCTATCTTCATCCTTGTCTCCCATGGAATTAGGGTTTCAGGGCCTCGAGCTGAGAGATTGTTTCAACAAAAAGGGTTAGTAATGGTGATTGTGTATAGACAGAGTAGGGTTTTTGTCAGAAGAGGAAAAAGATTAAAACTTTAGACATTAGGAGTGCTTGTAACAGATGAAAAACTGAAAATTTTAGATTAGGAGCGTCTAAGATAAATCAAAGTCCGAATTTCTACGAAAATTGAGGAATTTCACACTAAGGGTTGTGTGCAAACACTGATAAAAATCTAAACTTTGGGCATAGGGTTTCTGACTTACCGTGAAGAAAAGAAGAGAGGCTGCCCTTAGGCATGTAATCAAAGACGAGAAGCTTCTCTCCCTTGGGACCCAAGTAATAAGCCCTGAGTGCCAGAAGATTTGGATGCCGAATTCTCCCCAAGGCTGCAACCTCTGCCTCGAACTCTTTCACGCCTTTGGTCGTCTTCTCCCTCAGCCGCTTCACCGCCACCTCATTCCCGTCCTCGAGCGTCGCCTTGTAAGCCGTTCCATAAGTGCTCTTCCCCATGATCTCAGCCGTAGCACAAAGAAGGTCGTCAGCCGTGAACACGAACGGGCCGTCGAAATGCACCAGCTTTCCTCCCATCTCGCTGGCCGATTCACCGGCTGCTGCTGCCGCCTTCTCTGGGACAGACCGGGTCGAGATCTTCCCCTCTTTTTGTTTCAGAGCGGACCGTTTCTTCATGAGACAGCAGAACAAGATGATGCATAACAGAAGCAGAAGGGCCAAAAGAGCTCCAATGGCGATTAGAATTATGTCTTTTGCACTGAGTTTTCTGCGATGGTGGTGGTGTTTTCTTGGTTGTTCAGTTGGTGGATGTGACTGATTTAGAGGGTGAGTTGGAGAAGGGCATGGGTTTGAGGCGCTGTAGCCACAAAGCTGAAGGTTTCCCATGAAAGAACTCGAGTTGAACTTTCTGGTGAGAGGAGTCGGGACAGGACCCGATAGGCCGTTGAACGAGACATTGAGAGAAGATAGATTCTCAAGACTGATCAAAGAGGGTGGAATCGGCCCGGTGAAGTTATTTTCAGACAGGTCAAGCTGACTGATTCTGGAGATATTCCCTATAGTCTCCGGGATATGGCCTTCAAACTCGTTCCTCTTAAGGTTGAGCAATGTAAGATTCTGCATTCCATCAATGGTGTCCGGGACTTGCCCGTTGAGGCGGTTGTTTTCGAGATTTAAGGAAGCGAGAGAGGAAAGGTTGATGAAAAAACTCTCTGGAATGGTTCCGTTGATCGAATTGAAAGACAGATCGAGGCTCTGAAGGTTCGAAAGACTTCCTAATTCCCCGGGAATAGCCCCAGAGATCTGGTTGTGGCTTAGGGAGATCTGCTCTAGCAATACAAGCTTGCCAAGTGACCGTGGGACATATCCAGAGAAGAGATTATGATTGAGATTCAAGATTTTGAGAGGTTGGGACACATTTCCATGTCTTTCACCTCCCCAAGAATCAGAGATTGAACCAGAGAGGTTATTGTGCTGAAGATCAAGAAAAGTGAGGGTATATGATGAAGAACTGGTGAGACTGATGGGAAGAGGACCCGAAAGCAAGTTATAGCTAAGGTTGAGCCTATAAAGCCGGGTGGACTCAGCCAGATGAGCCGGGATGGACCCAGATAACTGGTTATTACTCAGATCAAGATTCTGGAGAAGAGGGCAGTTACCAATGGATGCAGGGATGGAACCCGAGAGACGATTGTTGAAGAGATGGAGGCCATGGAGGTTACGGAGGAAGCCGAGGGAGTGAGGGACCGAGCCACCGATGACGTTGTCGTGAAGGCTAAGCTTTCTGAGAGCACTGAGCTGTCCGATCTCTTCGGAGATTCTACCGCCAAGGCCTTTCCATGGAAGCTGAATGGCGATGACCTGACCTCTGAGACACCTGATTCCGGCCCAGCCACCGGAGCAGGCTCCATAGCCGGAGTCGTTCCAGGTCCTGAGAACGCTGGAGAAGTCGATGAGCTCGTGCTTGATGGCTCGAAGCGCCTGGTAGTTGGCCTGAGTCACGGCCACGCCGTCCCAGGAGTGACCTGCAACTGCTCGACAAGTGAATAGTGAGAGAACCAAGAAGAGATTCGTGGAGAAGCCGAGGTAAAGTTTATAGATTTTTTCTTCCTTGGGAAGAATCCGAGATGGGTTTTTGGAAGACGGATCCATTTCACAAGGAAATGCGATATTCATTTAGAAAAAAAGGAGGAAGAATCAAAGAATAAAAGAATCGTAAAAGAGGAGGGGAGAGAATCTGTGTTAAGATCAAAACATGTTTACACAAATCGAAATAACCAAAAGTATAAAAGAATCGTAATTTGATTTCTGGAAATAAATCAAAGTGATGTTCTTCTCTTCTCTCTTATTGAGAACAGTTTAAGCCAAAAACAAAGGGCAGGAAGAAGAAGAGAGGATATGAGGGAGGAAGAAGAAGAAGAGGAGAAGCTTTGATTTAAGAGAGAGGAAGTGACTGTTGAAGCGAAGACTAGTTATCGTTTTTAGATGGGGAAGAAGACAAGACGAGTTTACGATTCTTTTTGGTCTTTTTGTTGTGTGGGGATGTGGTCAGATCTTGTAACGGCTAGTCTTTGCGCCAAGACGGCAGAGGCACGAGAATATGAGCAACGGCTATAATATCATGGGGTCGGTGTTTTTTTTTATAATTATAATTATTATTATTTATTCGGATTTGATTGGACCCATTTTGTTAATTTTATTTATTTATTTACTAATGTAATGCCGTTTATATCCGTTGTCGGAACGAGGGGGACTCGAGACGTGTGGAATTTATCAAAATTTTAGATAACTTTTAGTGGCTGTCGTGGTTGAGTAGAATTAGTAAAAAAAAAAAATTCACTCGTGCAGTGCCGGTAACGAAGAAATTTGGACATCTTTGTGCCTACTTGACAAAATATTTGGGACCCATTATAACAAGTTGATTCGCATCCAAGATTGGATAACTTATTACAAATTAGGGATAAAAGCAAAATCCCTTTCTATTTTTTTTCTTGGAGTGTTCACCTCGGCTTTTTTTTATCTTTTGATAGACTAATCGGTCGGGGATATTTTTTCTTCGTTTCTTGTCTTTTTCTCGTCTCCTCACACCCGTGACGATCCTCGTACCTTTTTTCCGGTACTGTACTATTCAAAATAATTAAATATTCAAATCGAGTTTCGGTGTATTATAAATCATCCTCTTTAAAAAGAATTTGTACTCGAATTCGGAATCGCGGGATATCATCAAGATTTCCTCGTATTCAATATCATCACCAAAACACATTCATATCGACACGTCATCTGAAGCAAGCATAAGTCTGATACAAACCAAAAATTGTGTCGAAAGACTAGTGAACTTTCATATTATCAAAAACAAAACATGATTCGCAAACCCTAATCGAAAAACTATCCAAAACTATTCGGATCAATTCTCAATTTGACAATTTTTCTTTAAAAAAAAGTTGGGTGCTTCTGCTTGTGTTGTGTCGCAAAGGTGATTTTATATATGTAAATGCTAATAATGGACATACTGCAAAAACCATATCCACATATGTAAACCATCCAACCCGAGAATGGATATCATCTCAAGCTCAAAATGCGGCATTTTGCATTTGCACATGAACGAGATCCAACAATGGACATAGCCAGATCTGACTGATGAAAAAGTTGCAAGACGTTGAATATGAAGAACCCAGATGGAATTCAAATCATCAAAATCGTTGACAATATACAAGCTTTGACAAAGGAGATGTAATGTATGTAAGCAACGTAGGAGAGAATACGCATAAATTTGTGACCGAATATCATAGACGAGAGAACTATATAAATTTAAGCTAAGATCTATGCCCAATAGGTAAAATAAAGGATTCTGAATCTGTTTTTAAACCTAAATATCGAATGAACAAACAAAATGTACGAATAAACTTCAAAACCCTAAAAGGATTACCCGGATCCCAATCGTATGAATGGCGGATCTGTAGATCGGACTCGATTCAGAGGAGCATCTACACGCGGGCGGCCATGACGGCGGGCGCGGCGGATGCGGCGGCCTTGGAGGCGGCACCGCCGAGGAAGGAGAGGAATCCGGTGGCTGCAGGCTCTTGTTCGTCGAGGAATAGGTCTTCTGGAGCCCTGAAGGCGCCGTGTGCACAGATCAGGGCGACTCCGACCATTACGGCGGAGACCAGAACAGATCCGACGTCGGTGAGGAATACCACGAAGATGCTAAAGAGAATGAGAAGGCCAAGGGTCTCGCGATCGGAGAAAGTGCGGCCGAAGATGACCAGAGGCTGATCGGATGAGCGAAAGAGGTAGAGGAAGATCCAGGAGGCGAGGAGGCTGAGGAGGAGGACGAGAGAGAAAGGATGCGTCACAAGAGAGAAAGCGACGATCGCCGTCGCGACGGCGAGGTAGTTCACCTTGAAGTACGAATAGTTCTTGCGGACGCGGACGGCGGCGTCGGAGATCGACTCCGGCTTAGAGAACGCGGACCGATCAGCGAGCTCGGCCCATGGGCGGCGCTGCGAGAGGCCGCTGCGGACAGTCTCGGAGATGTGGTTGATGAAGGCGCGAAACGCCGGAGTAGCGATCGGAGGTTGCGATTCGACGGAGGATGGTGCGGCAGAGGGGACGGTTTGCGAGTTGGAGATCGGGAGGACGGGAGGAGCGGTGGAAGCCATTGTTACTGGCGCGAGGGCTCGTGTTTGTGCAGATCTGGAGAGAAATTAGTAAAAAATCAACGAGAGAGGATTCAGCGCCTGAAGCATAAATATAGAGAGAGAATTCAATTGACCTTCCCCTTTCCTTCAGCGCTACGGATCACACCGACAATGTGAGTCGATGAGATTTTCTCGGAAAGTTCCCCGAGGTTTTCTACAGTGGAATTGGCATGGAAATTCCCCTGATTTCTATTCAATCCAATAAAAGAGTGACACGTCAGCGCCCGCAAAAAAAATGATGTAAGGCCCATTTAGGCCCAAAAGAAAAGTAGCCAGCCCATCTTGATTTACACAAAGCAGGAGTCACATTTCGAATATTATCATAAATCTGTACAACAAACCACATCATCCACATGAGATACGGTCTGAATCCAAATTTTACAGACAACAAGACGCAACACTCACTCGTGTTGCTGACTTTGCTCCAATCTTAAATGGAGAATGAACACACTTTTGTTTTTCACAAAAGCTTTCAGGGGAAAAAACACCGACAACGAAATACATTCTCACTCGTCCACCACCAATGGCGTTTCCAACGTCTTCTCGGCCTTACAAGCGTGTAGGATCGTGCAAACGTCGTTCTTCACCAGAAACTCCTCTGCGTTTACGAGAATCAGCGGTCCATACTCGAACACCAACTTCTTGCACTAACCAGACAAGATCAAGATCATGAAAGTTAGTTTTGTGTCATGAATCTTTCTCACTCAGTTCTTGATATTGTTGAGATCTTGATTGTGTACTCACCTGTTTCTCGTAGTTCTTGAGCGATTTGCATCCCTTCAACAGAATCCCGATTATGTCAAGCTGGTCATAACGAGAACATTAAGTTTTGTAGAGGCATTAGCATTAGAGGAAATCTTTCAGCAATTTACGTCCAAAGAAAACTTTTTTCACGGATAACCCTTCAGCAGCCGGAAAAAATTGCCGGAGATTTGTAGAAACATGATATGATAATGTAAGAGAATCTGTCACGCTTAGTTGGATAGATGGATCTTTACCAGAACTTCAGTAGATTGCAAGCATATAATATATCACCAAGACTATAAGCAATCTTATATAAAAAAAATTCCATCCAAACTGTGAGTGAACAAGTACTCATTGCAGAATGAGAAATGGCAAGACTTATTCAGGAATTTTCCTGATCCATCTCTTTCAATGTATTCTGAGCCAAAAGCCATTAAAATTCTGTAATAACCGATAACCAACAGCATGATTCTAATTAGGAATTGCTAACCTGTGTATCGGGATCTTGTAACTTGTTCAAAATCTCGGAGACAGTCTTGTGGCACACGTCGCAACTGTCCTGACGGTATTCTTCTACAAGAGCCACGACCTTTTCGCAAAGATTAACCCTTCTGCAGAAATCTTCAGGTTGATATGACTCGAGTTGTAAAAAGAAGAGAGGGACGTAATAATCCACCAGAGCAATACACTGCACACAGATCAGACTCATATTACCAACCAAACCCAGATAGAAAAATGATAAAAAAAACACCAAAAGAAGAAACCGATTTACAAACGCAAAGGATATCCGTGCAAACCTGTTGCTTCAGACCACGCAGCTGGGAACATCGGTCATGAAGTGCCTCAATTATCTCGGTCTGTGTTTCGTTTTTCTCGAGGTAGTCGAGAGCAACTGCGACGTATTCCTCACACAATGTGCAGACTTTCTCGTTTTGGGCAACTTCCTCTGAAGAAAGATGGAAATCGCGAAGCAATTATAAGTGTAGCTTTTGGTTTCAGTTTACTAGCCTAGATCCATCCCCTTACTATGGAACACATTTTGTCATTTCTTCAAATATTTTTCATGCTTCATTCACATAAACTGAAAAGTTTGATAATTTCAACCAGATTTTTTCTGCTTGTTCAAAGAGATGACAATTTACACAAACCACCAAGTTTGATAATTTCCCTCTCTCTCAACATGACGATACACACATTCACACTGTGTGTATATGCGTGAGTGCATATGAAATTCTTACCGGAGAGATGAACGAGTCTCCGAGCGTCGCAAGCAAAGGTCAAACCCAACAGGAAGAGACCCAACATCCCAAACCTCACTCCCATGATGTCTGATTTAACAGAACAAGAAATCAGGTATCGCTCAAGCTTCAGACATAAACAAGATCAAACCTTTCGAACAATCAACCAATCTCGCGTCTCAGATCAACAGAAAAGAAATTAGAATTATGAGTAAGTACCATAAAGATGAAGAAGAAAATCTTATAAACCCCAATTCTTACTGCTTCAGTGGGACCATCCTCAGGAATCAAACAGAAGAACAGGAAATTTCAACGAGAATTCAGGAATATATTACCTCGTGAGCAAAATCGAACGGCAGATTCGCGATCCGAGCGAAAGAGAAGAGAACAACTGGAAACCCCTTATCAACAATTAGGGCAGAGAAATTGAGCGATGGAGTTGGATAATGTCGAAGTCAAATAAGGATTTCTGATTCTACAAGGCAAGCAAGCAAGCTTTTGTCGTTGTCAAGGCGTGAATGTAAACCGAATATACGAATATTTCAAAGATGATGACACGACGCGCATTCAAGGCGCGTGCTTACAACGCTCTCAAAGAACATGTGCATTAAAGAATCTCTCATCTTCTACTTCACTACGTTCACTCAATCTCACCTCAAGTTCAAAGAAGCAATCTTCTTCTTCATCGTCATCTTGCTCTCTTTGTTCAACAACACAGACAACTTGGCTAAACCAAACTTCCTTCTCTTCCCTGTCAACCTTTTCCCATTCTCCTTCCCCAAGCTCTTCTTGCTCACTGAGCCATCCCCATTGTTGTTAGTCTTACCAAGCATCTGCCCAAGCGATACTTTCCATCTTCCTTTCTCACCAAGAACGTTCATTTCCGGCTCCTCAGCCAGTATCAGCTTCCTGCTGATTGTGAATCTAATTTAGTAGAGATTTTTTCCACACGTCTTGAAATTTTTTGTCTTGTTATCCTTTCCTCTCTGAACCTATACAATGTTTCGCTTCAGCTTAAAGCATTTGGACGACTTGTTAAAGGTCTCCGAAGTGGAATGGATTTGTTGTTGCTTCTGCAGAAGGAATCACATCTAACAAGTTTACTGTGTAAAGTCTGTAAACTTCCGGAATTAGTTGGAAAAGACGGCCTAGAGTTATTCCTTTCTCAATTTGAACCAGCCATAGATAGTGACTTTCCAAATTATCAGGTACGCTTTTATATTGCGAATCCATGCATATGACAAAAAAAAATGTTGCTAAAGTTCAAAGATATCTCATTTTCTCATTTTGCTTGCATTGTGTGATGTTTCCCAATTTTATTTTGGGTTAGTAAGCTTGAATTCTTGTGCTCCTGCTGAGAATTTGCCCTATCGACATGGTTGGTTTCAACGCTTGCACTGTGGGCAACGACCCCTCGTTTGTCAGATTCAGACCGTTCATGTCCATGAGTTGCGTCTCTTCCCTGTGCTGGGGAGGACAAGGGTTCTTGAACTTGACCGTGTTGCTCGCTGATGATGATCTTCTCCTCTGCCCATTCTCCCATCTCCATTTTCGCATTGCCTCTTCTGCTTCAAGCTTTGCAGTGTTAGCTGCATCCATTCTCTCGAGAGCTTCCTCGAGTGCCCTCTTGCTAGTTTTGATCTCTAGGGCAGCTTCTTCTACTTTTTGCAGAACCTCTGTCTTAGAGACGTTTGCTTCATCAACTCTAGACAACGCATCTTCCACTCTCTTCCTGGCTTTTTCCTCCGAGTCTTTAGCATTTTGCGTCAGTGAAGTGTACTCTTCAACGGTGATGGTCACTTCATCAGTGTTCTTGCTTCCAGTCACGGCCTTGATTTCGGCAAGTGCAACTGCTTCAGCTGCTCTAGCAGCCTCCTCCATCTTTCTAGCAGCGACCAACCTTATCTCTGCTGTCTTGATCTTGTTTCTCATGTCTTGGATCTTGGCCATGGCTCTCGTTACTTCTGATCGGGAATTCTCTCCTGTTCTCTCGAATTCCTCAGCTTCATGACTCAATCTTTGAACCTCCTTCAGAGAGGTCTGCACTAACCGTTCACGGGTCTTCTCAAGTGCAATCCTTTCCTCATCCAGCTTCTTGTTCAGCCACTCAACCGAAGAATGGGTGCCTGCAAGATCGTCTGTCATCCTGCACATGTTCAGTTTCGCCTGGTTCAACTCCACCAGTATCTCATATGCTGGCTGTGGCTGACCACTCCCACATTTGTCGTCTTTTGCTTCTCTTGCCATCTCCTTTTCAGAAGCTTCCTTCTGCTGCAGCTTCGACTTGAGCTCCTCGACGGTGGCATTCGTAGCTTCAAGCTCTTTCAGAACATCGAGTGTTTCACATTCTTTGACGATCAGTTCATTCTCCAGCTCGGTCGCCTGATCTTCCAGCTGAGCAATGTCAGCCTCTTCTATGTCTCCCTGCTGCCAAAAACCAGAAACTCCACATCACATCAATGGAAACGCCAAGAAAATCTCTAAATCATCCCCAAAAAGCAACAGAAATCTCATAAATTTTTGAACTTTTCAAGCAATTAAATTAGTGGAAGTGCCAGTAAAGAGCAAATCAAGAACAGAACTTTTTCTTACCAAGGGATGCATCAAAGTTACAGCCTTGAAAATCAGGTCGACAATCAAAACTACTAACCTTTTATTTGTCTCCATGAAGAGTAAACAATAATCAGACATCATAATGTCGTTTACTACAATAACCAAACATCATCCTCAACCAGCAAGCCCTATTCCTCCGACAACAGAGAGAAATTCCCTGGACAACAACATCATCCTGCCATTTCAGACAAGATCACCGCCATATCTGAACAATCCATGTTCAGGGCATAGGGCTTCAACCACGCTTAGAAAGTAAACAACGACGACAAACAAAAACCCTAAACCCACAAAATCAGACACGACCAGAGAAAGACAGCGAGATTGAAAGAGATAGAGAGACCTGAGAAGCCACTGAAATTCTATGAAGATGAGAAGGTTTCCAGAAACCGAATCCGCCGAATCGAGCCGCAGCCTCTCTCACAGACTCGAACGGGGCCGACGTATCGATCTCCACTCGGTTTCCGCTGCATGGTTCGAACCCGTTCGCGATCCCGGGTTCCAATGAGGAGGCCGAGTCTAGGGTTTCCGCCATAGAAAATGCTGAAGAAGAAGAAAAGACAAATCTCAGGAAGGAGATTGAGCTTGGTGGGTGAGATGCTCGAAATGGAGAGAGAGAGATTTCTTGTTCTCCGAAGATGGAACCAAATTGTTTTCTCCGATTCTGCTGTGATTAAGAAATGTCCGAACGGCACTAGACGGTCTTCTGTTCGTAGGGACTTCTACAAGAGGGGGGAAAATATTAAAAATAATAATTTTCAAAAAAAAAAAGAGGATGATAAATGGTAGTTAGTGTTACAGTTTTTATATTTGTTTGAATTTTATTTTTTAGATCTTGTTGTTTAAATTAGTTTTATATATAAAGAGGAGTGTATATTTTTCTAATAATATTAAAAAAAATGTAACTAAATTCGTATGCACAAAAAATGTAAAAGTGGCGAAGGACCTCTAACGGTCAAACGTAGGCCCCTTATTATTATTATTATTTTTTTGTTAAAGCCCTTATTATTATTTTTACTTACTGGGAATTAAGTGTATCTGGTGGGCACAAGTATAATGGGTGAAAACATTATAATTATAGACCGACCGTTGCATGTTCGAATTCGAAAATTATAGTCCGATGAGAAAGAGGGCAATTATCATATCCCTTTACTTTTTGTTTTCCCTAAAAAAAACATATGAATTATGTAAGAGCGCTCGATTATTATTATTATTATTATTATTATTATTATTATTATTATTATTATTATTATTATTATTATTATTATTATTATTATTATTATTATTATTATTATTATTATTATTATTATTATTATTATTATTATTATTATTATTATTATTATTATTATTATTATTATTATTATTATTATTATTATTATTATTATTATTATTATTATTATTATTATTATTATTATTATTATTATTATTATTATTATTATTATTATTATTATTATTATTATTATTATTATTATTATTATTATTATTATTATTATTATTATTATTATTATTATTATTATTATTATTATTATTATTATTATTATTATTATTATTATTATTATTATTATTATTATTATTATTATTATTATTATTATTATTATTATTATTATTATTATTATTATTATTATTATTATTATTATTATTATTATTATTATTATTATTATTATTATTATTATTATTATTATTATTATTATTATTATTATTATTATTATTATTATTATTATTATTATTATTATTATTATTATTATTATTATTATTATTATTATTATTATTATTATTATTATTATTATTATTATTATTATTATTATTATTATTATTATTATTATTATTATTATTATTATTATTATTATTATTATTATTATTATTATTATTATTATTATTATTATTATTATTATTATTATTATTATTATTATTATTATTATTATTATTATTATTATTATTATTATTATTATTATTATTATTATTATTATTATTATTATTATTATTATTATTATTATTATTATTATTATTATTATTATTATTATTATTATTATTATTATTATATATATATATATATATATATATATATATATATATATATATATTATAATAGTGTTTCCCCCCCTACACCCTAAATGCCGCCGTAGAAAATGATAGATTGCTTTGCAAAGTCACGAACTTTATTATGGAGGCGATGCTATAAAATTAGTTTCATACGCTTTTTAACTTTTTTTTGTTGTGTGAAGAAGAATCCGAGAAAAAACATTCAATTCATTTCCACTTTGGATTCTCGAGTCAAAAAAGGGAATATAAGAAACGTGTTCTAGCTACTCCTGAAACCCTAACCATAACAAGTAAGCAGAACCTCTATGATGTGATCTTGGTTTGTTTTGATTAGTGAGAAATAGATATAGTTTGTATTTGAATATAAAGTTATCTTAAGTACCCAAGCTTGGGTGACCTGGTGGTGAGAGTACATGCAAAGTATGATGTTCAAATCCAAGCGTGGGTATAGGCATTCACCTGGACTTCCCCGATCCTCTAGGAGATGTAGTCGGACCAAAGGTTCGGTGAACTTTCGGATTATAAAAAAAAAATATCTTAAGTAATGCCACTTTGATGCATTAACTATATAACAGATTTAAAGATATATTTATTTAACTGTTTATATACTCGGATAAGCACGATATATTGAAGGTTTTTTACTCTAATATATACTCAGTGCAAAATATTGACTATATATATATATATAATATAAATCAAATTTATCATATATAAAATATACATGAACTATATATGTATGCACAAAATTTCGAAGTGAAGGAAACTAAAGAAAAAGCACAAAAACCTGGAACTGGCGAGACAGCTTCAGATTGAGAAAAGAAAACAAAGGTGAAGCGGTCATGATGGGGAAGATGGGCACATGAACAACTAACTCATCATTAGTTTTTTAAGTATAATACATACGTGTATACTGTACATGAAACACCGCATACGTACGTAGATGGGGATGACCATCATATACGTATAAGAGTGAGTTAGTAATGCACGTGCCCTGCTTCTCCATCTTGATCTGCGCTCTGCCTTTGTAGCTGAAACTGAGAAGAAGATGAAGAAGATGACGAAGAAGAAGAAGAAGAAGAAGAAGAAGAAGAAGAAGAAGAACCTTTGTCTCGCGTATTAAGAGAATGAAGGGTTCATATTATTTGAGAGCATTAACCGGTGAAAGTGTGTTGTCTCACGTATACATACAAAAACCTTGGTCGTGGACCCATCATTTGCTTATTCCTTTGTTATTTTTAATTATATTTTTATAATTACATATTTTTCAATCAATTTTATGGAACATAAGATTTGAACTCATCCGAATTTCAATAATACTCCGTTCATCCTTTGTTATCTTTATATTCGTTTTCTTTTAATTATGTTCATTTTCTTTCGATAGTACTCTTTTTTCTCTCTTTTTTTTTAGTTATGGTCATATCGGAAAGTAGGTTATAAAAAATTATATAATATAAATTATTTGTATTATTTCGCAAATATCAAATCTTCCACCCAACCCTTCATCTAAAATAATTAGTTAAAATACTTTTGAATGATTCTTTACCAAACTAAATCTTTGAAATTATTGTTAATTAGTTCCATCCCATTAATGTATTGCCAAATCATTATAAATATATTTTCTTCTATTTCTCCTTACAAAACCTCTTTATGTGTTTGATATAATTTCATAATACGTCAAAAAATAAATATCGAATAGAATAGAATATTAAGATTTAAATCTAGTGGATATAAACAATATAAAGAAAAAAAGAGAATCCGGGATTATGACAAGATGTCAACCGCAACCCATTGCTTTTGGGATATGTTTTCCCAAAAAATATACGAGATCCATGTTTAAAAAGTATATCATTTATTATGCCATCGAATTGATTGGTTCCCTTTGTTGTTATTTTCGGCAAATAATTTACGTACGTTGATTCGAGATACGGAATTTTTGCTTATTAAAACATGATTTGAACGATTTACCCTAAAACAAAATATAATATAAATAATGCAAGGAAAAATACTAGACGACGAAATGAAACGACTGACCTCGTCGTTTCGTTTCTCTTGGCGGAGACCAAGTTGGACAGATCTAGGGTTTTAAAAGCCGTATTCGGAAAGTCCGCTTCCCCATGGCATGGAGGTCAAAAGATGCCCTTCTTGTCTTAACCACGTGTGCATGCGTATAGTATATCAGATTGTCGGTTTGTAACGTTAAATTAATACGTACCATGAAACCATATCTACTCCTTCCAATTAGCATGATGATACACGAGTCATTCTATTAAGAAACCAATGAGCGGTTTACACTAAAACACACCAATCCAATCGGACATTATGGTTTTTTCGTTTGTGTAAATTGTCATTACTTTTACTATTTGTGAAAATTAAATTATCCTAAACCAATATTATATTGATATGAGAGTATTCAAAACATTCTCTTATCCCGATTCAAATTCAAATTTAGGGAGAGTTATTTAACCAGATTTCTCCCGTTTTATAGGAGATGTAGTTGGTATAAAATATTTATGATTTTCTGAATTATTAAAAAAATATTTTCTTTTTGAATCTCTCAAAACTCAAATAGGATTTTAGATGATAATAATAATAATATTTTCAACATAATAATTAGACAAGTCTCAAATTTTAGGACAAGACAAGTACGATATAATTTATTAATTAATCGTAATTAGACAAGTCATCGCGTTTTAGTACACGACAAAATTAAAAGATGTTTTCGTCTTACAGTGAAACGCTTGGTTTTCAACACAACTAGACACATCTAGTTAGGACTAGAGAAACCTAGTTTGAATTTTATGATTAATTTGGATAACTACGATTGACAAGTATAGTACTGCCAAATATAAAGTTTTTTTTTTATTTTATTTTTAATTTTATTATAAGACATAAACACCCTTTTGCTTTTATGTTATATATGTTGGAAATTTTATAACAAAAAAGGCACCAACCGAGTTCGAACATGCCTTGAAACTCGTGAAGATACATAAGTTTAATAATTTTTTAAAAATGTTATATTAAGCCCTTTCCGACGAATAAGATTTAACCGAAGGGTTTGTTTGAATACATAAATGAGATCAATCGAGTTATATGGTTATTCTAAAATTTTAAACGAAATATCATATGGGGAAATAGTTTTTTAAAATAAATTTATCTGTTTGCGTATATCTGCAAGAGGTGAAACCTTAATAGAAATCCTTCTAATGAGAATGGTAGAAGTGTAAAAAGTAGGTTAACCTACGTGTCTGGTCGAGTGGTATCTGTACTGGAAGTGAGGGTGTTCCTCCTCTAGATTAGGGGTTCGAATCTAGGCATGTGGGAAGAGAGAAGCAAAGCCAAAGGCTGAGTGTTCAAATGCTGTTCCCGGGTCTAGGGAGATATAGGTTGGGTCGAACGCTCAGGTGAACTTCCTGGATTGACAAAAAAAAAAAAAAAGAGTAGGCTAAACTCCAATAAAAACGTGTACACGGAAAAAAAAACCAAGCAAATATACAACTTGCCCTTTTTATCCTTTTAAACACTTTTTTTTAATCAATTTCTGAAAGAAATTCTTATGATGCAGTTTGATCTTAATTATTTTCAAACGAATATTTTTTTTTTCTTGCATTCTATCTTTTCGATAATTTTGAATATCTGAAGCATCTAGATCATAAAAACTGTTTAGGGTTTAATTTTAAGGGTATTTTATTTTAGCATTTATTTAAAAACTGTTCTTTTGGGAGAATATATTTTTCAAGTTTAGGATGTTTAACAAAATTACCCTAAAATCAATTTTATATGTTTAATGTAAAATCGTACTATATATATATATATATATATGTCATAAATGAATAGGAACACGGTTAAACGTCTCGTTGACTCTTGGGATAAAATTTTGAAGTGAGAGAAGGCATGGTAGAATAAAATCGAATATCAGCGTGAAGGCCCAAACATTAAAATTCGAATTGTACCCTCTAACGGCCTGTAACGTAGTAAGCACCCAAAACTATGTATTATTTTATTATTTTATCCCACGGGCTCACACCAACACATGCATAAATTAATGTATTGTTTTATTTTGAGTCTAAATCCGACCAAACAAGAAGAAGTTTCTGAAATAAAATTACGTAAATAGACCAGGATGCCATAACATTCTTGCCTTTGTACGATATATAAATAATTTCGGCATGGCAGAATCCGATCCCCTTATATGCATGCATGCATGCCTCTCTATATGAATATCGTCCTATTATCAAATATTCCATATTTTACTTTACTATATCACGTCACGTAGTCAAATAAAGACATCGAAGGAATACAAGTGTGTCAAAAGTTTCCATATTTCGGGGACCAAACCATTTTTTTTTTTTACATTTCTCCTTCATTTATTTTATTTAAATAAAAATAGTAACACCAATTTGACTTTTGTCATTCTTGACACAATCGAAATTAAAGAAGGACCTCAATAGACTGTGAATGGTATTGGATTTTATTTTGATTTTTTTGTTTTAGTTTTTGATTTTTTGTTTTTGTCTTTGTATTTTATAAATTTGTAAATCTAAAAAAATGCAGCTTTTAGTTTTTAGTTATTTTTTTAATAAAATAGATTTCCAAATTTTTAGAAGAACTAAATTAAACAAATTTAACTTTCAGTTTTTTTCGCTTTTTGATATTCAAAATCTCTAAAAACTCTTAATATTCAACACCATAATAAGTTATACATTTTCACCTAAATCGTGCTCATCTACATTATAAATATAAACGCAAAATAAAAAGCAATACTCCATACGACAAATTTTAAGAGGAGTAAACCAAAACTTTTTTTAAATAGGATTCATATCCAATCCAAAATTCTTAATTTTTGACTAATTGAATGTCTACGTGTCATTTCGTACAAGTTCTTCAATAATCAATCGTATCCATTTTTGTATGATAAATCACGATTTTGTTCATATACAGCAACTTTTTTGTTCATCCCCCAAGAAATGCACAAATAAGTTATTAAATTGATTTTTAATTATTTTAAATTTTGCTTTTGAAATATAAATAACCAAAAGTTTGATGGAATTATATATTATATATATATAGTCACAGTAGATTCATGGCTTTATTATTGAATCACCACCAAGTTTTTTGTTTTTTTTGGGCTAAAATCACGACCAAGTTTTTTTTTATGATTTTTTTTTGATGAAAATCACGACCAAGTTGAAGTTGCTGAAACATCAGAAAGATACAAACATCACAAGCCGACGCAATTTCTAGCGGTCGTAACGCCACCGTCTACGACGAGGTTGTGACCGTTGACGTACTTTGACTCGTCGCTGGCCAAATACAAGGCAGCCTCAGCTATATCCATAGCCCTCAACGTCGCTCCCTTGAGATTCGCCAACCCTCTCACAAACTCCTCCATCTCCTCCACCTCATCCTCCCCCAGCGGCGCGTGCTCCTCACTCTCGCCGGAGTTTTTCCTCCACGCGTTTACCAGCATCGACGTGGCGACCCCGAACGGGGAAATGCAGTTCACCCTTATCCCGTAGCGTCCGAGCTCGCAGGCCGCGTTCTTCGTCAGCCCCACGATCGCGTGCTTCGATGCCGTGTACGCATGTGGGCCCATCCCTCCCATCACGCCCGCCACGCTGGCAGTCGATATTATGCAGCCGCAGCGGCGCGTGACCATCACTCGCGCCGCGTGCTTGATCCCGACGGCGGCGCCTCGGACGTTGACCCGCATGACTCGATCGAACTCGTCCGCGTCGAAGTCCATTATGCTCTTGCGTCTGGACTGGTCGCCGAGAACGCCCGCGTTGTTGAAAAGCACGTCCAGGCGTCCGAAACGCGATACGGTTGCGTCCACGACGGCCTCCACGTCTTCTTCCAAAGACACGTCGCAACGGACAAACGCGACGCCGGGGGATAACGCGGCGGCCAGGGCAGATCCGGCCGAGTCGTCCACGTCAGCAATCACTACGGTGGCGCCGTGTCTTACGAACAATCTCACAGTGGCTTCGCCGATGCCGTGGGCTCCACCAGTGACGATGGCCACTTTCCCTTCCAACCTAGGGTGATGCATTAATTGTGTATGTATATATATACATATATAAGCTTTCCGTACGATATGTATGATTAATATGATACGATTCACGTATACGATTACTTTTCACTGTCAATATATATATATATATACACATACATATATACCTTTTAGGAGATGAAGTTGAATTGATCTCCTTTTGCAGTACGTGGAGGCGTTGTAGGGTTTGCTCAGGCATCACTTGGGCTGGCATGGTGGATTCACTCAGATTTTGAGAGAGAGAGATCTAGAGAGAGAGAGATTTAGATTTGCGTGGGATATCTATAGTCTATGCCACGGGTTTGTACATATGTATATATCTATTTAACACGTACATACATTTGTGCGTATAAATATATATACGCATATATATATATATATAATAGGTGTGAACCTGTGGTAAGAATATATGCAGTCATTACAAAGTATTGGAATTATTCTGCTTAAAAAAATACAAGAGACATAAAAGGGCTAAAAAAATTAATGCAAAAGATTTCCTGTATCTTTTTTTATCAATAAATTATTTCAACGAGTTCCTTGTTTGTTGGAGCAAATTTAATTTGCTAATTTGACAATTCGTTCACAACTACTCTTTTTTTGGTTTAGTATCTTCCATCCGGCATTAATGTAATTTTGATGACAACTCATGTAATATAAACAATGTAACATTTTCTAATTATATATATATATATATATATATATATATATATATATATATAATTCGTAATATTTGTCATATATAAAATATATACTTTAACCTAACATTCATTAGCCTTATAGATGCCAGATCCAAAATTCATTTGCGTTGAGGGGAGACTGAATCATACATTTAATTACCAATTTTAAAAGACATATAAAATAATTTTTTAGAAAATTAATTAATAAAAATGCATTTAAAGATTAAAAAAAAGGAGTATGCGGTGGGAGAGAAGCAAGGGTTCCGGAGATCGGGGTGGGATTGCCATTAGATCGTAGACGAAGCCAGTTGGTTTATGTAACGCAGTCAGTCACTGAGCTGTCCTACACAAACATACATTTTTATGTAACCCGTAATAATAAATGTAACTATATAATATATATTGTATTTAATAATAATAATAATAATAATAATAATAATAATAATAATAATAATAATAATAATAATAATAATAATAATAATAACAATTGCACTACGCATCCACTCTGATTACGTTCAATAGGACGAAAGCGTAATTAAGAGGAACAGATCTTCAAAATAAATAAAAAACATGTTCCAAATAAATCTATGTAAGACAACAATGGATTATAGAACTATTTGAAAGATAGATATCCAGATAAAACGTGTATATAAACCTAAAAAACAGCAATGAAACAATAAATCTGCTAAAAAACTTTAAGATCTGGGTTCGATTCCATTGGTAGGGAGGGATGTAATTTCTGAATCAAAATAATTTATATACAAAGAATGGTCTCGGGCCTAGAGTGGATGTAATCGGACCGAAATTCCGGGGAACCATCCTGGTTATCAAAAAAAAAATCTGCTAAAAAAACGAGATCGTCCATAAATATTCAAAGCTAGTAATAGACTAATAGGTCGCATAAAAAAATAATTTACTTATTAAAATAGAAAACCCTTCAATGTCTCCAATAGTTCGTGATGGATAATTAATGCTACTGCTATGCCTTCACCCATATAATAATTGGTTGAATCTAAATTAAAATCCACCGGTGTCTCCGCTCTGCAAAATTGTGTATCAATGTGGAAGGGAGTATATATATATATATATATATATATATATATAGATATGTGTGTGTGTATACATACATATATTACATATGCATGTGTACGCGTATACGTATATATGTATATGGAATAGGCATATGATATGAACTCCAAGAATATTGGTTGCACCAACGCCCAGCCTGGTTGCCACGAAATAAGATCTCGAAGGTCAAACATATCGGAATTATTATTATTATTATTAATTACTCGATAAATAACAATAATAATTTAAAAATATTCCAACTTGACTAATCAATGAGTTTGCAGGATCCGGATCTCATCGGATATTGTTTAACCGAGTTAATTAATCACTGCTGATTATTTTAATGAGGCATCGATTGATCATCATTTGTGTGTTTAGAATAAATATTGGTTGTGAATGGAGGCGTTATGTATATCATATGTTGACGGTATGTATATGTGAAGTCAGTGACTTCGATCATAAGCAAACGGACTGAATACAAAAAAAATAAAAATAAAAATATGTTAATTTATTATAATCGTTCTAAGCAAATCTGTCAAATATATATAAGTCTCCTACTCTTTCCAATAATTCTCATTTATTTAAATTTTAAGAATACTATATAACCAAAGCACCTACCATATGCCAACATAAGAAAAAAAAAATCGCATGCATCTTGTAGGTGTACAATGACCCGTATTCTTGTGTGAATGTTCATTCATTAAACTTATAACCTAAAAATAAGATAAATCTTAATAATATCTTAAGAAACTATAATACTTTAAGGTTATTACACCGCCAATTTACTCCTTAAGTTAAACCATATAATTCCAAATAAAAAAGATAAAAATAGCTTTTCAAATTATTAATGGATATTTTGTTTTAAATATATTCTAGAACTATTTCTTTGGGATTATCTCACCAAAACAACAAATCTATATGTATTTGTTTGAATATAATTTAGCGACGATTTCGTTATATATTTAACATTTTTTTGGTTATCTTGAAAAAAAATAAACTATAAGAATTTACGTTTTCATCACAACTCTGTCATGTGAAATATATAGTCGGCGCAGACAAATATGCGAATGCGAAAATTGTACGAATTGATTGGCGAATGATGAAATAGACAAAGTGTGAGCAAATAAATTATAATTTTAATAATCGATGGAAATATTGCATAGTTATTTAATTTTAGTGGTGTTATGCAATCAAAAAGGCTAGAGGACAAATGATTCGTTATGAGAATATGATGGGGAGAGGGTTGAAATTTGTTTATCATATATATACATACACACACACAAATTTAACGGCTGTATCACATACGTAGCCATGAAGCATATTACGTTTTAATTTTAAAAAATGAAAATAAATCGACAATAAATTTATTTTTGTTTGTGTTTTTTAATTGATTTTGTATTTTTTTTTTTGTCTGGCCAATGCAACAGAATCAAATAAAATACGTTAACGTGAGCTTTTTCATAATGGGCCCTACCCTACGTTCATGCCTTCCATTTTAAGACAGAACTTAGATCTAAAATTTTAATTTTGACGGTCCATATCGTTGAATTTTTATTCCTTACGAACAATATATTTCGTGATTCGACGGAGGGACGGACACGTGTCTAAAACGGTTACTCGGCCCAAGAGCCAGCCCTGCGAGTTGGGCCGATTTAAAAGCGGAGAAATACACAGAAAATTCTTCTTCAGTCCATGAATGTGTTGTGTTCCATCATTCGTCGTTTCGAATCCATAGAAAGTTGGTCCCGATTCTTGACAGCGATGGTGGTGTATCCTCACAAGATCTAACGTCAGCTGTCAGGAGAGTGAGAGAGAGAATGAGCTAGGGTTTCTTGCTGGTGAATTCTGCCTTTGAACAAGCACTGGAGAGCTGGCGAGGAATCATAATGCCGTTTACGAGGTACCAGATACGTAGCGAGTACGGATTGGCGGATCCGGAGTTGTACCGTGACGCCGATAAGGATGATCCCGAGGCTCTGCTCGAAGGAGTCGCCATGGCTGGGCTCGTCGGCATCTTGCGTCAGCTAGGTGACCTCGCCGAGTGAGTTTCTCTCAGCTTTAGCCATTTGATTTTTGCTTCTTGTTGGAACTTCCCGCAATTGGCTTAAACTTCGGTCGAATTCGGAGTTTGGGAGTTACATCGCTATGACTAAACCGTGTGATTTGAAATCATTGGCATACTTGATGAAGCATTTTGCGAATTCGATGATCCTGTAATGGGAATTTGATTGCGGAAGCTCAATTTTGTCACATATTTGGTGGGGTTGATTGAATTTCTTGCTGTTCGAGTGAAGATTTGCCGCTGAGATGTTCCATGACTTGCACGAAGAAGTAATGACGACTGCAGCAAGAGGCCATGCTGTGATGGTTCGTGTGCAACAATTGGAAGCAGAATTCCCTTCCGTCGAGAAGGCCTTCCTGTCGCGGACTGATTGTTCCCTGTTTTTTTCCAACACAGGTGAGATAAGTTTTGCTAGAGCCTTGGTTTACGCCAGTAGGTGGATCGAATCATAAAGACAATAGATATCCTGTTCACATAATGTAGGAATTGATATAATGCTTGAAGCAAGTTTGTCTTGTTTGTTCTTCTTCCATTTCCCATCAGTATTCTCGGTATACATATCATTCATAGCAACAGTGTTATTATTTTAAAAACTTTGCATTTGGGTGAGTTTATCTAAAGCTTTAGTAGATGAGGATTCCGATAATGTCTAGTCATTTCTTTATATCAACACAGTCACAGCATAGACAGTCTCTGGATGGATTAACTCTTGCTGGTATTGGTATTCCTTGTAGGCATTTATGATCCAGTTGACTATGCTCTTGGATGTTTTCACCTGACTCTGCACTTCTTATCTAGGTGTGGACTGGCGTCCAAATGTGCAATTGGAGCAGAGTTTGATTACCCGTGGAGATTTACCTCGTTGTGTGATGGATTCATACGAGGAATGTCGTGGTCCCCCACGGTTGTTTCATCTGGACAAGTATAGTTTCTCAATTAAGATCTTTTCTTCGTCAGTGATCATTTGTTAGAGCTGAATATATAACATTTTCTTTATCATGTCTATTAGATTTGATGTCGCGGGAGCTGGGGCGTGTTTGAAGCGCTACACCGATCCATCATTCTTTAGGCTTGCAACATCATCCTCTGAAGCATCTTTGGCTGAAATCCAGAGAGAGAAAAAATCTCACAGAGCAAAGGTACTGCCGGAAGGGAGAGATTGTTATCTTCAAGCTATGGCCGGGTTTTGCACTATGGTGCATTTTGATATAAGTTTTTCTCCTTTTATGGTATATTTGATGACCATATAAGGGTTTGAATGTCTTGACTCTGTATATCACTGTATTTGGAGCATAGACATCCTCCTCGGACCAATTCAGGCGCCTTGTCTTTGTGTTCTTGAATGTTCAACTCTTCCTTTCCTCGTCGCTTTTCCTTAAATCCTTCCTTTCCTTGGTTGGGTTGCAGAAAAGAGGATCAAAGTGGAGGAATGGGGGAACACCTGAAATAGCACCAACATCGCATGCCAAGTGAGTGTTCTTATTATGTGTTTCACATATTTGCCATTTCTATCATATGTTTAGTTTCCTTCGTTTTATTCATTTGTATTTGACTTGATTGATGATTGGGAACTTAAATCTCTAACAACTGTTACAGATTGCATGACCTGTTTCTTGAGGAGCGTGTACAAGGTGTTCATGCAGATCCAACACGCCTTGTGAAATTGAAAACAAGAAAATTGGATGGATATGCACTTAGCTCAAAATCAGGGGAAAGTTACATGGAAAAGTTTGTGCAGATGTCTGTAGATCACGGAACAAGTTATGAAAGAATCGCTTCAAGTCCAGAACTGTTGACATGGAATATGGATGATGCCAAAGATTCGGTAACTGAAATACCTGAAATCAGTACGGTGGGTGATGTGGAAAAATCATCACAAGGAACAGAAACAGAGGTTTCATCACCAAATGAGCAGGAGAATATACCAACATATAACTTGAATGGGGATTTCATTGACAAAGACATGGAGACAGTGCCTGATTCTACTCATGGTGAGGCAGAGGAGATTGCATCCTCTGTTTCTGATAGAATTGTTGAAAAGGATTTGCAGACTAATTTGAATGGAGTACCAGAGAATCTTCAGTATACGTGTTTTTCTGAAAATTTAACCAGCGAGGTCGACAATTATGTGGATGCACCTGCCACCATGGAGTCAGAAACGGAAATAGACGATGATGGTAGACCTAGGAATAGATCAGATGCTTTAGGTGTTGTAAAACATGACTCAGATTCTGATGTGTATGAGGACAAGATCGAAGATCCACCACAATTTTCAGATTCTCAATCAGTCAGAAACACATCAGCCTCAGAAAACGGGCGCAGCTTATTTTTGAGATGGAGATCTAGTTATTCTCATTCCGATGCTGCAAACATATCCACTGAAAATGATTTGTCTGATGGCGAGAAAACTGCTGAATTTTTACCTTCTACTGGTACTTGTAAGAGTGAGCCAGTGGAATTCACATCCGATGTTACTCATGGGAACAAGGATGCTCAAGAGTCTGATTCCGGCGAGCAGGAATTGATCAATGGAAATGATGTGGACCGCCAGGCATCATGTACTTCACCTTGTACAAGTTCAAGTCCCAGATCTGTCTCACAGATTTCTGGTTCACATTCCTCAATAGTTCAATCTTTAGCACAAAATGATCCGAAGAAAGGAGGCAGTGATGAAAGCAGCACGGGCCCTGTTGATTCTTCAACTTCAGGTACTCTTTTGGATGTTACAGATCCAAGCTTCTCTTCTGAAGTTTGGTTGGCTGTTTCATCTTCTGAAGGAAACAGATATGACACGGCCATTGACGATACCACCAAAACAAATTGTGAGGTTGATTACATGTCTGAAAATTTAGCAAATTCAACCACTGATTCTAGACAGTCTGATGTAAGTCCAATGGATCAACGATCACCTTGCTTAGATGACGATCTTATTGCAGCAGCTGACATCCACTCAAACAACAATCTAGATGATGAACGTGAGAATGTGACGGTGACTAAGGTAATTTCTGAAGTTCATTCTCAAACTGCAGTTGCTGATCTCTCCAATGAACATTCGCCAACATTTGGCACCACTACTGATGATTTTGTTTCTGAGTCCCATGAAGTTACATTGGTGAATGGAACTCTGATGCCTACTGAAGTTATTGACAGTAAGATGACTTCTGACGTTTTCTCAGAAGATAAAAAATCGATGAGAGATGCTTCACCAACTTATAGTACAATATCTGGTGAATGCCATTCCAGTTTTGTGGATGATAATGGCTTCCATGATCCTGTAAGTTTGGACACTGAAGCCCCTGATATTGTCCTTAAAGAAGAGCTCGCTACGTCTGGTAATGATGCTGACACTGCTTGTAGCGATGGTAACCAAATAGAGAGTAAATGCTCTTCTACTTCAACATGTTCTCCACTTATTATTACATCAGATAAAACATATGAAATTCCTTCTGGTGCTGGAGAGTTTTGCCGTGATAAAGTTCTGGAGTCCGACAAGACATTCTTGGCAGAATGTAATCCCGAGTTAGAGAGAAATACGCAAACAAACCCACTGGAAGGCACTTTAGAAGGTCTGGATATTGTCCAGCATTCGTCACCAGTTGCCCTAGACGACAATGACTTGGAAAATGGCGAGTCTTTAACTCTTCGGACATCTCTAGATTCCGTTTCGTTGGATCTTGAGAAATCAATTGAGGTGCACAAGCTTTCAGCAAACCATGTACTCACAGATGAAGAATATTTGCGGTCTGATGTTTGCCAAGGTTTGTCCTCAGAATCAAACAGTTCCGCACAGGCCTTGAATCATGAAACTACTTTTCCTGGACTCGGTTTAATTCCTAAGGCAGCTCCACCATCACTTGAAGAGATTCCGCCACTGCCTCCTCTTCCTCCTATGCAATGGTTTGTAGGAAAGGTCCAACATTCTTCTAGTCCCGCCTTGTCGAGAGAATCAGTTGAAAACATTACGTCTCCTCTCTCAGCAGCGCCTCCTGTTGGATCTAGCCTGAACACTCAATTAGGGTTTTCACCAAAAACCCTAGAAGGTGGCCGATCAGAACAATTTCCTGCAGAGTTTGTGAACAATGCATCTGAAGAGCACAATTCTGTCACCGACCATCCAGTTCAATGCCACGAGCTGCATCACGATAAACCAACAGAAGATCAAGATCTCAACGACATGTCTGAGCGCATTTCACGAAGTTCGAGAGATTCTGACCGGTTCTCCGACACCAAAGCTCGGACTCCTACACAGTCAACAGAGGCGGAAGAGGAGGGTCAGTCTGTTCCTTGCGCTTTGGACGGAGAAACAGCCGAACCGTCGAGCTCATCTGTTCAGAAGATGCGTCCAGGTTCTTCTGTGGGAGATGCAATGTGGCCTGTCAACGCATTTGCGTTGGCACCGATCTCGAACTCCGAGAAACCGAACGAAATTCCTACAGTAAAGCTTCCTCGGCCGAGAAGTCCGCTTGTTGATGCAGTAGCAGCTCATGACAGAAGCACGGTAATAACGGTCATGTCTTGTCTGGAGTACACTTGCAAGTCTACTATCCATTAAGCGTCGTCAATCTGATCATTTTTTCCCCTTGTTTCCCGGATGTATTCGCAGATGAGGAAGGTGCCTGAGAGGGTACGGTTGCCTACAGAATCAAAGGAAGAGGGTAAGAATTCGTTCCTGGCGCAGATTCGAAACAAGGTAACGTACATTGCCACATGATCCGTAGAAAACTTAAAATATGATTTGGGATCGTATATGCTAATAATGTTGTGGGAGCTGTTAATGAATGGTGGATACAGTCCATTAATCTGAAGCCAGCAGGGATGGCACGACCTAACATCCAAGCCGGCCCCAAGACAAACTTAAAGGTTGCTGCCATCTTAGAGAAGGCAAACACTATCCGCCAGGTCATCCTCATTCCTCCCTGTCTTTTTAAATGATTAATGATCATATTATCCATTATTTTTTTGGGTAAAGGAGAAAATTTGGAACTGAACTGATTGAAAAATGGCGCAGGCAATGGCAGGGAGCGACGAGGACGATGATTCAGACAGTTGGAGTGATTCTTGAGATCACAGCTTCCTGTTTCATGCTGTTGTTTTACCCAAAACACTCGGTGCTTTTACCAGGTAATTTAATTTCTCATAAATGTAAAAAAAAACATCACTTGTTTTTTTTTTTATAGAAATCTTTGGATATTATACATACGTATACATATGTGTCGCTCTGTATAGGTGCCTGCAGGTGTAAGTAGAAAAAAAAAATATTCAAGAATTTTTGTAAAAGAAGCTTTGGGTCTTCTCAGTAGTAGACGGTGTAATCATCGGTGGTTTTCATGCGTTTATTTATTACAGTATGTTCTGTCTCCCACGTAATGTATATATATTCCTCATTCGTTCTCTTTTTTCTTTTCTTATTTATAATAATAAAATACACAAGACAAAAGGAGTAAGAAGTTTATTTTGCAGTTCATCAGGAAGGTGGTTTATATTTTTTAGTTGTTCCGATTTAATTTTAAAAAAAACACGAAAATCGATACTACACTTAAAAGCGATGATTTTAAGAATTTCCATCCCTTTTACCGTAGTTTTAAAGTGTTATTACATGTTATTTTTTTAAAAAAATTGAAAAGACGATCGTAAACAAAAAAAAAAATCTGTGATTCTGACTTTGTTTGAAAATTATAAAATTCACGACTTATCATCTTAAGTGCGAAGTCATTTAAAGTGATGACTTTAGGAATTTTCATCCCTTAATATAGTTTTTTTTTTGTTAAAATCCCTTAATATAGTTTTTAAAGCTATTACATGCCATTGTTTTTTTAAAAAATGAACTGAAAACGTTAAAACTGAATTTGATTTGAAACTGAAAATTTTAAAATCCACGACTGATCATCTCAAGTGTGAAGTCACTTACAAACCCTTTTCGAGTCTCGCTGTTCATCACTTACCGTCACCGCCCAAATCCCCGGGGGAAACATAGAGTCAATCTCCCGCAAAAAAAAAAAAAGTTGCTGGAGACGATCGAAGTCGAAAAGCGAAACCAATTAGGGTTCTCGAATCTCCAGAGAGAATCGGGGGGAGGGGGAGGGGGGGAATATCTTCTTTTTTTTCCCTTTTATGGGAAAATCAATTCCCACCAAAACAGGGGTGAGAGCGGCGGCGGAGGCGTCTTTAAAACTCGTCAAGTCATCGAAATCGATTCGGCCCGTCTCCTCAAATCTCCGCTCCGCTTCGGTGAAGATGGCTGAGAGCACCAGTGGTGAAGCCGCCGTTGCAACCGCCGCCGACATCGGCAGGAGCCGCCGCCTTTCCC